AGAGCTTGGCATGCTACCCCTCAAGCTGGTTTGCTGGCCTGATTTACCTCGGAGGCAGGCGGGAAGAGAACCCCCTCCCAGCTGGTACAGGCCAGGAGGCTGTGGCTCCGCCCCGGAGTGCGCGGCCCCCAAGCCGCGCCACCTGCTATAAAGTCACCTATCCCGTCCTTGAACCAACTCATGTCATCCTGTTTAGCAGTTTGATCTGCACTTGAAAGAATCAAGACGAATAAGTGACATGAAATGAAACCAATTTGAACACATTTGATAGATTATAGAAAATTGTTCTGAAATGCCAAGTATAATCTTTCCTTCCAGCTTTCCAGTGGACATTAATGGCTAAATTCTGCCTCTACTTACATAAACACATTTGACCAAAAAAATATAAATACATACATACATATATATATATATATGCAGCATGAACAGCCCTGAAAAAAATAGAACCAAATTCTGAGATGGCGTATAATTACACACTAGTTACGAGATTCTGAAATAGCATGTAATATGCCGAGTGGATGCTTATTTCCTCTTGTTGTCTCAGAAGGGTCCCACCCAGCCGCTGAAAGTAGTAGTATCAAAATAGCTCATGGTGGCTTTAGCCCTCCTTTCTTGTTGCTGGCGCACAGACCTGCAGAGGCACTGCTAATTTGCTGCAGGATGGGGCAGGAATAGCTTGCCCAGGAGGTTCTGAAGGTCTTCAGTTTGCGCCAGCTCATTACAGGCAGGGCAAAGAGAGGAGAGAATGTGTGGCAACGACTGGTTGTGACTTTGGAGTCACAAGATTTGCGTTCCCTAAAACGGGCAATTCCTGGTGTTGTAAGGAGGCTAGTGCACGGTGAGTGCAAACCGGGACTTCCACAAGTCCCTGGCCAAGTCCCCTGAGGACCCAGGCTACCATTATCTACCCAACCTCAGGAGTCAGTTCTCCGTGCTGGAATGAAATACCTGAGGTCGAGCACTTTAGAAAGCAAAGAGGTTTATTTTAGTGCACAAGTCTGGAGGGTCAAGGACGTGGTGCTGCCACCAACAGGGCTCTTACAAGGACCTCATGGTAGGTGGTGCCACAGTAGGAGCACGTGGGAGAGGGAGGGATTACGTGGCAAGGCAGCAAGTCAGAGAGCGGAGGCCCCCCTGCTCGCACAACCTCGTGGTAGGCCCCACCTCTTGGGGGTCCCACCACCTCTTAACACTGGGGCCAAATGTCCAATATGTAGGTCTTTGGGGGCCACTCACCAAAACCATATCCAAACCCTCGCACAACCCAGAATGGGTCAAGTTGCAGGGGGATCGGTGAAGTGGAGCAGCTGCATCTTGGAACAGGAGAGATGCCAGAGCAACTCTAGGGGCCGATGCTGTGGTGACGCTTGGCCCGCCAGTTACGTTGGCACCCCCCATGAGCACGTCAGTGGGCGTCCTGGCTGCTCCTCTTCCAGTGCAGCTCCCTGCGCATGCGCCTGGAAGCAGTGGAAGATGGCCCAAATGCTTGGGTCCCTGCACCCACATGGGAGACCCAGCTGCAGTTCTAGGCTCCTGGCTTCAGTCTGCCCCAGTCCAAACCTTTTGGGGAGTAAATCAGTGGATGGAAGATCTCTCCCTCCCTCCCTCTCTCTACTTCTGTCTTTTAAATAAATACATAAATATTTTGAAAAAAAATCCTTAAAAAAAATCATCAGGGTTCCTTTGAAGTAGTTACTATGGGTCAGTACACGTGAGGGTGCTTTAAAAATACAATGAAAAGACAAGTTGATTTCGGAATCCGTGCCTAGGTTTTTCAGGGGACACACTGTCCAGGGTATTCCATGGAACTCAGAGCATCTTAGAGAAAAGCAGATTCGGTTTTGTTTTGCAGATCTTTTCACGGTCAACGCGACTGGACTTGACTGGGAGGAACCGTCCTAGACCAGCTGAACTCAGGCTGGGAAACAGAGTTGGTGGTCAAGTTAGGTCACCCGGGCTTTCCCGAGTGATGCGCTCAGTCCCACAGAGAAGAGCGAGACCCAGCCCGTGCCCTGAAGAAGCTGGGTCCCCTGAGAGGAATCATGGGGACCCTGTGGATTAGGAGAGAAGCAGGCTGAGGCTGGATCCCTGTCTCTGGGGAAGTTAACATCTGAGAGGCAGGAGAGGAGGAGCATGTGGGAAAGGAAATGGAGAGTGAGAGAGACGGAGGAAAGGCAGGGGCACCCGGGGTCAGAAGGTCGCAGGCATGTCGTTTCCAGAAGAAACGGGGATCGTGACACAGGGAGGGGCAGCCTCAGAAAACACAGACCCAAAGGTGTGTCCTGAGTTCGGCTAACGACTGCGTGGGAGGGGAGGGAGGTGACCGCGGGGCAGGCGCTGGAGACAGAAGTGGAGCTGACCGCGTGCAGACAGCCGGGAAGACAGGGAAGTGCCAGGGCGGTGGCTAACCAGGGACACGCGGCCCACGCAAGCTCTGTTCCCTTGTCCTTGCTAGCAGAGGGATCTGAGGTTTCCAGACGGAGCCTGGGCGAAGGGAGACGTCAGAGACACAGACGAGAGGCCTGCGAAGGAGGGGCTGGAGAGCACAGGCACCTGGGCAGGGAGGACCGCATCCCGCGAGCCTGAGCAGCCGGGGTGGGGAGGCGCTGGCGTGGGCCCCCACCTCCCAGCTACGGGTGTTTGTTGCGTGTACCCAGCGTCTGCGGGAAGTGCAGGAGCTGGAGGTCGGGGAGGCTGGGGAGGTTTAAAACAGCGAGGGCAGCAGAGGGAGGTGATGGACAGGTAAGCGCTGGATGGTGGAGGCGGGATGAGTCACCCTCGTTCCTCTCCTCCCCCACCCCCACCCCCACCCCCACTTGCTAAGATGGCGGCGCCGGGCCGCTTCCCGCCCCCACCCGCTCGCTCTCTCCTAGGTTTCTCTCAGTCTCCTTGCTGGGTCTTCCGCTTTTTCTCTTGACCCTGCCAGTCCTGCCCCTCACGGCTCCAGAGTGAGCTGAAGACGATGGGGCGTGCGTTTAGCCTGGTGGCCGCGGCCAGCGAGGGCGCCCGAGGCCCTCATCAGGGTGCCTGGCCTTGCTGTCCAGCTCCGTCTCCTGTCTCCAGTTTCCTGCTAGTGCAGACTGCAGGGCAGCAGTGATGGCTCAAGGACTCGGGTTCCTGCTCCCCACATGCAAGACCTGGATTGAGTTTTTGGCTCCTAACTTGGGCTCAGCTTGCCCTTGGCCATTGCAGGCATGAGGAGTGAACCAATGTATGGTGGCATACTCTCTCTCTCAAAAAATACACACACACAAAACAAAAACAAAACAATGTAAATCATACTACTCCCCGCATACAAATTCTCACTGTGACAAGGATAAAATCCAAACGCCAAGCTTTGTGCTGGCAGAACCCACATCCTGTGCTGTATCTACCTCTTTCACCTCCTCAAGTTCTGCGCTTCCCTCGGTCAGTGTGTTCCAGCCACTCTGACGTCCTCTGGGTGCCTCCAGTTCTCTGCTTGGTTCCTGCCCCAGGGCCTTTTACTCACCTCCATAGCCCAATGTCACTTCCGCAAAGAGGTCTTCCCTGCCTCTCCCAAGAAGCACCACGCCCATCCCCACGACCAGTTCTGTCGTAGCGATCCGTAACTGAAGCTATCTCACACGTTTATTTACATGTGTGTATTGTCTTTTTAAAGATTTATTTATTTATTTGAAAGAGTTACACAGAGCGAGAAGGAGAGGCAGAGAGAGAGAGAAGTGTTCCCATCTGCTGGTTCACTCCCAGATCGGCTGTAATGGCCGGAGCTGTGCCGAAGCCAGGAGCCAGGAGCCAGGAGCTTCCTCCAAGTTTCCCAGGTGCTTGGGCCATCTTCCACTGCCTTCCCAGGCCATAGCAGAGAGCTGGATTGGAAGTGGAGCAGCCGGGACATGAACCAGCGCCCATATGGGATGCCGGCACTGCAGGCAGCGGCTTTACCCGCTACGCCACATTGCTGGCCCTACGTGTGTGTATTGTTATTGTGTTTTTCTCAACCCTAGAGTGAGCATTCTGGGAAGGAGCTTGTTCAGCGCATAGTGGGCTCTCTGAAAGGATTGGCTGACTGAGGGAAAAGGCAGCGCTGACAAACCAAGTGAGGTCAGAAATCTAACTGCGCTGGCTCGAGTCAGACGGTCGTGGGTTGTGTGGTTTTCCTTGGCGGGAGCCATTGGGCAGTCAGCCTCCCGCATGCCTGCTCTGGGGATCATGTCACAGCCGACTTCCAAGCACGGGCAAGGCGGCAGAGGCGTCTCCAGGGTAACTGGTGCTGAAGTTTACATTCTTATTCATTTTATCAAAATGCCCCGATTTTAGAGCCTTCTTCCATGGGGGCTGCCCAGTTCTGGGGGAAGCCACTGGTACCACTTCCTGCCCCCAAGCTGAGCCAGACTGCACAGGGGACAGGGGAAGGCGGCTGACTCGAGACAGGTCTGGTTTTCTTGGTCATCTGGAGGTTTGGCTCTATCTGGGGGCGGAGCAGAAGCTGATATTGGCAGTCCTGCGTCCTCACTCCCGGGCTGAGCACAGGCCTCCAGTGCTAGTGGGAGTGACCCTGGCAGAGGGTCGTGTGGTTTTACCCCTTTCCAGAACCCCACAGCCCCGTCTGGCAGGTTTGTCCCTCGCAGGCTTCCAGAATGCGTAGGGCCAGGACACCCCAGGTCTGCTTTGTTTTCGCGCACAAACACAGCGTGAACCTCCTTCCGTCTGGCAAGATGACAACATGGGGTGGGGGGTACATGTCATTTTATAAATGCTGGGGCCACCCACTGGACCCCTTAATGTTGCTTTGCTTCTGAAGTTGTCTGGTCAAGCTGGAGTCCCAACAGCACTGGCTGCGGAGAGCTGACGTCATTTCCTCCCATCATGCTCTCAGGAGCCGCTGGCTGCCACCATCCCCGTGTGACAGGCAAGGAACCCGACTCAGGGAGGCCAAGTGGCTTTGCAGGGCCACTGCGCTGGGGGAGGGCTGGCGGGCCTGGGGTCTCAGGCCACCGCGGGCTGTGGGGCGCGGCAGTTACCTGGTATTCCGAGTCCGCCTTGTGCTGCATGTCTCGCAGATACTGAACGTCACTGACGAACTTCCTCCTGTCTCTCTCTTCATGCAACATGATGCTCGCTCCCGACCTGCGCGGGGCAGAGACACGCGCGCCGCAGTCAGACTCCTCTGCCAATGTGCCGCGTTCTGGTGAACCCTAACTGCTTCTATTCTCTTATTAATCTAATCCCCACTACCAGGAAGACACATGGGGCTTCCCCCGGCGGTGAAGGCCTCGCAAGCCTCCCGTGGCGGGCATAAATCACGCAGCCGCCCTCGGCGCTGGCTTCCTTGAGTCAGCCCTGGTTACTCCTGGGGACTCGGGCTGGCAGACACCTGACTCTGGAGGAGGAAACCTGAGAACCCAGCTAAGTCAGCCATGACCGAAGTTAGAAGCTCGAGGAAATTTGTTTATGCGACGATGATTTCATCTCCACCCTCCTCCCGACTCAGGCCCCAGGGGCCAGCAGGACCACCATGATCCCCGCTGCGTGGCTCCTGGAACCCCGGGCAAAAGCCTGCCACTGAACAAGCGAACCCTAACTGCGGGCCAGGGCTGTGGAGCAGAAGTGTGGGCCCGGGGAGTGAGTGTTCTCAGGGGAGGGCACGGCCCCGCCTGGAGGGCCTGGGGAGGGTTTTCCCTGGGCAATGACACCGGCTTCCAGGAGGACCAAGCCAGGCAAGAAGTGGACCCGAGGACAGTGGGTGGTGAACTTCAGGGAGTGAAGGGCAGGGGCAGGTGGGGAGTGGGGGGCAGGGCAGGGCAGCGCCAGGAGGGCGGAAGGGCAGGCAGGGGCCAACTTCTGCAGGGCCTTAGAGACGTCACATGAAGCCATGGCAATGGGGAGAACACAGCCCGATGTGTCTACAAGGGGAGCTAATTCTAGTGTAGAAAATGGATGGGAGAGAGCGAACAGCGTAAGTGGGGAGATGGCTGGGAACACGGTGACCCAGAAGGCACAGGGTGGCTCTCAGACTGGGGGAGCAAGGGTGGAGGGAGGAGAGGGACAAGGAGGGAGGGGAGGGGGCTGTGGCAGTTCTAACCGCGCCCCTGGAAGGACCAGGTCCCAGTCTAAGCACTGACATCTATTAACCCAGTCTTCAGGACCAGGATGCCGGGAGGTAGGCGCTAGGTGTTTCACAGGAGAGGAGACTGAGGCTCAGAGGCATTAAGTAACTTGATTGGCAGAGCTGGGGTAAAACCCAGAGGATGTCCCTCCACCACGATGTGAAACCCAGGGGGAGAAACTCACCAGGACAGGGTGCCTACCGGATGGGGTGTGGGGGGAGGCCGAGCGGGCTGCCCGGGTTGAGCAGTTAGTGGGTCAGGGCAGGCTTATGGGAGAATCGGGGGCAGCGGGGAGTGTCTGGGGTCCAGGAAATGGAGACGCCAGCAAGCAGGGGTAGCAGCCCATCGGGGAAGGTGAAGACCTGGGCACTGCGACATTCAGGTGACAACGGAAGTTGACGGCAGAGTGGGTGTGGGAGAGAGAGAGGATGCAGGGCGAAGCCACAGGGGTGCATCACAGTTGTGGCCACTGCAACTGAAACGTGAGCTTCTTTTAGGGCAAAACATTTTGAAATCCACGCGAGGTTCTTTCCTAAGCATTTTTCCATGGACACTGAGAAGACCCCTTCCATGCCTGATCTCTAACTTTTCTGTCCCCCAGATAAGCTCATCTTGTGAATTCGTTTCCCAGGAACGAAGGGAAGCTCCCTTGCAGGAGCGACATGAACCCTCAGGAACAGGCAGCCCACAGAACCCTGCCAGCCCAGAGGAGGCGTGAAAACCAGGCCAGTGCCTGCAGTTCTGCGCAGGCGCATGGGTGCTGGCAGTCAGGTTGTACCTGACTCAGGGTAACCTAGTGTCTGGGCAGGCGGTGATGAAATCTCCTGAGGTTTAGCAGCCAGCCCTGTGCTACAGGGAACACGGTGCTGGTGCCTTGGGTTCTACACTGGGAAATGGTGTTGGAGAGTCAGAATCTGAACATGACAACCCAAAACGGAGCTCCACAGTGGATATGCAAAACCCAAATTTTGTTCCTGAGCTCCTTGACATCGTTATTTATGGGACTGTATTTTTAAATATCACTTTAAACTTCTCATATGAATTTGCACCTGCTTAGAAGGAAGTTATGTTCCCACCCGTTTTGGAAAGCAATGGTGTTGAAAAGAGAAAAGACGGGCCCCTGCTGCCGCTGTTGGAGAGAAGCCTGTTGGAATATTAATCAGGCAGGCAGAGAACGGGAGGAGTGATAATGAAAGACGTTAGTGCGCACCAAAGGGGCCAAGCCCAGAGTCTACTTCGGTGAGACATTTCAGCTACAAAGTCAGCACAGGAAAGCCAGCCCCTCCATGCTGCTATTCTAAGGAAATTTCCAAGTCAAGAGGCATGAAGTAACGTTGTCTAACGAGGTAAGCAACAACACTATTTGAATTACTTGCTAGGTTACCTCTGACGTCACAATCACCCTCCAAATAAAGGACTTAAAACTTGCCTCCAGATGTCTCTTCCCTCATGATAGTGTACTGTTCTACAGTGTAGGTGCGTCACGGTGCTGCAGGTCATCTTACTTAACCAAATCAGGACTTTTAGAGACTAGGCAAATCCTACAAGCACCAAGGAAATAAACTACTAGCTTCGGACTGAGGAGATCAGTAGAGGTTAGGCAAACACTCTCCATGTGCACTTGAATTTCAGGTTTGAAAAGCTGACCAGGATGAACAAGAATGAGAAAGCACCACATGGAAACAAGTCCACATGAGACAACGCTTCATTCCTGGGTCTCAGCTTTGCAGGCCTACTCAACCAGGTGGCCAGCTGAAGCCAGGACTTTCTCATTAGCTAGTACAGACGGGCGGAGGAAGAAGAAATTAAAAGAAAACGGAAGCCAGGTGCCCATTTCTGACCCAGAATTCTGAATTCTTTTCTGTACTCACTTTTGAATTGCTTTTCAACTGAACCTGCACTCCTGGTCACGCACACGCCTGCTTTTGCTCTTTGGTGATAAGGTATTGTGACAAATTAGGGTTTTTAAATGGGGGTAAGAAGCCATATTAAGGAGGGAGAGAGAGTGGGAGGGAGGAGGAAAAGGAGGGAGAGGCTGGTGGGGCCAGGAGTCCTGGTTGGTTGGAGGCAAGAGCGAGTGATTCTCCTTGACCTCAGAATTCCACACATCTGTGAAATGTCAATGAGGAATATTCTAAGAACTTTCTGACACACACACACATTCCTCTGTAGTGTAAATCCCACCGAATCCAAACTGACTTCCCGGAGTCAGGAGAGCAGAGTCTGACTGCAGAATACATTTTTCTCAGGTCTCTAAAAAATCAGGCCCATCCATACACACTACACAGCTGCTGCTCCTGGGGTCACACCTGCCAAAGAACTGATCTGAAGGGAGCGCTTTCCAATAACAAGTGGTTCTCTCAAGTGGTTCTCTCGTTCTCTTACCATATTCTTGCATCAGAAATAATCATTAACGTGACTATTTTTTTATTCGTTTGGTTAAAAATAAAGGAATGTGTGAATTTAATCTTCTTCAGAATCTCAATGGCTAAAGGAATCCCTGACAACCAGGCTGCTAAATCACTAGGCTCTTGGGAGGGGATCTCAGGAGCCTTAATTCAACATTCTCCACCTTTAGTTACTCTGTGACGACAAAGACTACGGGTCTGCTCGGATCTCAGCCTTGAAAACCATCTTAGATTGCTGGCAGTCCGGGCCCAGGCCTCCGAGCACCCGCGGGCGGGGACGCGTCGGTGGGGACGGCGGGGAGAGCCCCTGACGCCTCGGCCAGCTTGGTTCTGGGAGATCTGGGGGTGGGGAAGGGGATCGGGCTCGCTCTGCGCGGCGACCACCACAGCCCAGAAGAGAGGAGACCCAGAGCGACTCTGCGGGAAGCCGGGGTGGGGGCCGGAGCGCGCCTGCGGGAAGCCGCGTCGGCTCGGGCGCCCCCGGGGCGCCAAGGACCCCGGACTGCCCCACACCCGTCCCTCGGAGGGACTGGCGTAGCCCGCAGGCGGGGAACAGGCCCCACTTCCCTCCAGCGCCTCGAAGTCGCAGGGAAGCTGACCCCCGCCTCACACCCCCACCTCTCGCGGGGCCCGGGTGGGCGAGGCGGGCCGTTACCTGTTGGGTTCGCCCTTCTCCCCTGCCTGGCGCTAGAGGGCCCGAGGGGCGGGGCGGGCCGGCTGGTCCGAGATGGAGGAGCCGCCCATCAATCGCGGGGGGCCGTCGCTGCAGTCCTCTTCCTCCTCCTCTCTTCTCCCCTCCCTCGACCGGCCCCTGGCCCTCCTCCCCCGAGGCAGCTTTCCGCCGCGGTCGCCGGCCTTTCGTGGGGCGGAGGCGGTGGGGGCGGCTGCCTGGCGTCCTCGTGTTTCCTTGGCAACCGGCCTCCCCTGGGCTCGCGTGGGGCTCGGGGCCGCCCGCCGCGAGCGCGGGGCTGGGGGCGGGGCTGGGCGGGGCCCCGAGTGGTCCAGAGCCCAGGCCTGGGCGCCCCGCCGGTTGCCGTGGGAACGAGGCGGGATGCAGGTGGGAAGCTAGGAGATGCGGATAGGCTTTGTCTGGATTTCCCGGGCTTGGAGGCCTTCACTTCTTGCCTGAATTTCTGCTGTGCTTTCTACAGAACAGTTAGGAAATGAGAGAAGATACTTCTAATGGAAGCAAAGAACATTAAAGGCAGTACATGGAAACAAAGACACTGCGGTTCGGGAGCACGAGTTGTGCAGAGATCCCAGAAATGCCCTCATCCAATGTAGAAAAAGGGGGAAATGCGTGGCTTAGGGAGGTACCCCATCGGGGACACAACGAAGTCTCTCGGTTGCCAAGTGGTGTTCACTGTCTTCCCAAGGGAAGAACAGCTCAGAGGCACGCACCAGTGCCCATGGCTTGGGAAGAAGGCACCGAACTGTTTTTAAAATTAAAACACCAGAGAGAGAGAGAGAGAGAGAGAGAGATCTTCCATCAGCTGGCTCACTCCCCAAATGGCTTCAATTGCCAGGCTGGTTGGGGGGGTGGAGCCAGGAGCCCAAGCCCCATCCGGGTCTCCCACGTAGGTGGCAGGGGCCCAAGCACGCGGGCCATCCTCCTCTGCTTTCTGAAGCACATTGGCAGGGATCTGGATCAGAAACGGAGCAGCTGGGACTGGAACCGGTGCTTCAGTATGGAACGCTGGCCTTGCAGGCAACAGCTGAGCCGCCACATTGGCCCCCAGAACTCTGGCTAGCCTTTGCCCGTCTCTCTGCTGAGTTTATTTCTGTCTGGGGTTTCATAGGCAAAGATGACTCTGCTACCTATTTTGTATATTTAGGCATCTGGTATCATAGTGACCAATGTCAAGTTGGGACATTTCTGATTGGACGGGGAGCAGAAAATGGAGACTTGAAATCGGTGGTCCCTTCATCCGTGCTCAGAATCCCCAGGTGTCGTGGTTTGAGTGTCTTCTTAGCAGTCCCTACGTCCAGGCTTATCCCATTGCAGTATGGGCAGTATTATCATGTCTTTTTTTTTTTTTAAGATTTATTTATCTATTTTGAAGGCAGAGCTGCAGAGAGAGAAAGAGATCTTCCATCTGCTGGTTCACCCCCCAGATGGCTCCATCACAATGACCCAGAACTCCATCTGGGTTTCCCAGGTGGGTGCAGGGGCCCAAGTACTCAGGCCGTCTTCTGCTGCTTTCCCAGGCACTTAGCAGAGAGCTGGTTAGGACATGGAGCAGGGACCTTTCACACTTGGTGTCTTACCCTTCGGCCAGAGGGCACCGTGCGTTACACGGCAAGCGTTATTCCTTGCTTTCATGCCGACTTCTAAGATGCATCTTCAGCTGGACAGTCAGGCTGAAAACAGGCATCGGGGAAGTCTTCGTTCTGAGCACCTTCTCCTCGGACTTGCACTGGTCATCCCACAGTTCCAGGTGCTTTCCATCCCCAGTAGCCCAACCCACATTTTGCTATCATTCTCAGCTGGCTATCAAGTATTCCTTAGGAAAGCATCAACTGGTAAGGGCTGAACCTTAGCTAGCTGAAAACCCTGAAAACCCATTTTAGTTCATTAAAAAGCTGATCATTTTGGGGCCAGCGCTGTGGCACAGTAAGTTAATCCTCTGCCTGCAGTGCCAGCATCCCATATGGGCACCGGTTCTAGTCCCAGCTGCTCCTCTTCAGATATAGCTCTCTGCTGTGGCCTGGGAAAGTAGTAGAAGATGGCCCAAGTCCTTGGGCCCCTGCACCCACATGGGAGACCGGGAAGAAGCACCTGGCTCCTGGCTTCGGATCGGCACAGCTCTGGCCATTGTGGCCATTGGGGAGTGAACCAACAGACAGAAGACCTTTCTCTCTGTATCTCACTTTCACTGTCTATAACTCTACCTCTCAAATAAATAAATCTTAAAAAGAAAAGGCTGATAATTTTAGGAACTGATTCCCATAATCTCACTCATCAGAGACTAATTTGTCTTCTACCTGGCCAAGTTATTATTTTAGTCCCCAAATAAAGCTGGCAGCTTGCCCTTGATCATGTGTGCAAGGTACTTCCTCCCTGTGGAAAGACAACCACAGAAGATGAAGTGAAGGTTGAGAAGGTTTGGGGCTATGGATTTGGGCGAGGAGAACTGAGTGTTCTCCAGGGACACACCTAGCAGGCTGAGACTTGGGGAGTTACCCTCCCCCGACTCCAGGGGCTTCCGGCCTGGGTAACTGATGTGGATCATTCTCCTCAAAGACTCGGAGGCCACCTCTTTGTTCACTGCCCTGCTTGCTTTTTCGTCTTCATGGGACCACACTGCTTCCATTTTTTCCACTGACAGCATAGTGTCAGATTGAGGTGACCTGGGCTCAGATCCCAGCAACAGTGTTTGCTGTGCAATGGTGACCCCTCATCACGCTTCCAACCTCAAGACCCTCATAGTTAAAACAGGAAGAATGAGGATTAATGAAATAAAGAACCGGACGCTTCTGGCATTGTGCCCGACACATAGTTGCTGCTCAGCAAGTGGTCACCATCATTACTACTTATTGGGCTTGTGGATTTGATTCTCCTTGCTGAGATCTGAGGACATTCGAGGTATACCCCCTATAAATACATCTCTAAGGGCTTGTTACTTCTTTAAAATGTTAGTCTTACATTAGTAACATCTTTGCGGTTAATTTTAGATTGATGATTTTCTGGTCTGCATTTGAGAGAGTAACATTTGATGACCTCATCCCTAACTGTGAGGGTGTGTCCAGCTTGGGACTTGCCACCTTCCCCGAACTATGGGATACTTAGTAATATCTTTTGGGCTTTCATAGGTCAGCTATTTGAGATCCATCCTTTTCTGGAATAAGGTAGAGTCTGTTAGAGATTGGGGCAGACTCCCTCAAACTTTTTTTTTTATAAACTTTTTTTTTAATTTTTATTTTTTGACAGGCAGAGTGGACAGTGAGAGAGAGAGACAGAGAGAAAGGTCTTCCTTTGCCATTGGTTCACCCTCCAATGGCCGCCGTGGCCGGCGCACTGCACTGATCCGAAGGCAGGAGCCAGGTGCTATCCTGGTCTCCCATGGGGTGCAGGGCCCAAGCACCTGGGCCAGCATCCACTGCACTCCCTGGCCACAGCAGAGAGCTGGCCTGGAAGAGACTCCCTCAAACTTAATAAAACATATGTGCTTTGGCAGATCCTGAGAATTTTCCTTGTTTGGGGTTGCAGCTGATCCCTTGTGCTGGCTTATAAAGAGTGGGCAAACTCATTCAAGGTTTTGGATCCCACGGTGCAGAAACCATCCTCAAAAACCCAAACAGGTTTTGATTTCTTTACCATTTTGGAAACTTCTGACTTTTCAAACGTTCATTATGGCAATTGCTGTATCTGATACAGGATTGGATGCGATTTTAAGAAATCCGACGACCTAGAACATATTGCCTTTGATTTCTGAAAAATTATTTCCAAAGGAAAGTATTTGACTTCCGTGCAGAGGGAGTATCTGATTTGTTTGGACTTTGGATAAACTTAAGCCTGTACATGTTTGGGCAAGAGTTGGATTTGGGGATTGATCAGCAAGGCCTGCGTGAGACTCGTTTCGACAGCGGCGAGAATCTCACATGAGCGTTTACCGTGTTTCTGAACAAATAAACACTCGGGCCAAGCAAACCAAAGCTCTTCTCATCCAGAGGGCAGGGAACCCGAGCCCTGACTGAGCAACCCTTGGACTCGCGAGAAGTGGACGTGACTGCATCGTTCTGTTCAGATACAAATGCGGAGCGAGGGAGGGAGACAGCAGAGCCATCTCTGCATGAGAGGAGTCAGGCTGCCCGGCTCCTTTCCGAGCCCCGTCTCCTGGTGGGGCCGTCACGGCGGCTGCCCTCTGCACTCAGCCTACAGCGGGAGCCTGTCAGGTGACATCCGTCCCCGACTCAGCATATTTCCAATGTCTGCCCTCTGTTTTTTTAAATTTATTTTTATTTAATTTTTCTTTTGAAAGACAGATGCAAAGAGAGGCAGACAGAGATTCATCTTCCATCCTCTGGTTCACTCCCAAAATGGCTGCAGCAGCCAGCGCTGGGCCAGGCCAAAGCCAGGAGCCAGGAACTCAATCTGCTCTCTTACATGGCTGGCAGAGACCCAAGTACTTGAGCTCGCACCTGCTGCCTCCAAGGGCGGGCATTAGCAGGAAGCTGGAATTGGAAGCAGAGAAGAGGGGGCCCAACAGGCACTCGCATGTGGAATGCGGGCATCCTGAGTAGTGTTTTAACCTCTGGGCAAATGCCCAGTCCTGCCCTCTTTCTTATCAGAGCCCTTTCTTTTGTGGTTCTCTATTTTTCTAATGATAGTGAGAACATCAGATGAGGTGCTAATGCTAATCTCTTTCTTTAACCTTTTGTGGTTTATCACTGTCTCTGCCCCACCCAAGGCTGCTACTTAAAAGCAGCAGAGCCATCTTCTTTCTTTCTTTCTTTCTTTCTTTCTTTCTTTCTTTCTTTCTTTCTTTCTTTCTTTCTTTCTTTCTTTCTTTCTTTCTTTCTTTCTTTCTTTCTTTCTTCCTTGACAGGCAGAGTGGACAGTGAGAGAGAGAGGGACAGAAAGAAAGGTCTTCCTTTTGGCGTTGGTTCACCCTCCAATGGCCGGCACGCCGCGGCCGGTGCATCATGCTGATCCGAAGGCAGGAGCCAGGTGCTTTTCCTGGTCTCCCATGCAGGTGCAGGGCCCAAGCACTTGGGCCATCCTCCACTGCACTCCCGGGCCACAGCAGAGAGCTGGCCTGGAAGAGGGGCAACCGGGACAGAATCTGGCGCCCCGACCAGGACTAGAACCTGGTGTGCCGGTGCCACAAGGCGGAGGATTAGCCTACTGAGCCACGGCGCCGGCCACAGAGCCATCTTCAAAGCATAGGTGGGAAGCAGGCTTGTAGCAGCCAGAGGAGGAGGGAACACACAAGCAAACATGGCTTGTTGGGGACTGCTGCCAGT